CCCTGCACGTGCGCACGTGCAGCAGCACCCCAACTGTGGCACATGGTCATGGATATGCATTGCCTGGTGGGTGCCTAGTGCCTACCTACCTACCTGCCAACTTTCAGCGCAATCGGCCCAGTATTGTTACCGAGATACCTATTGCAATTGTTACAAAACTGACACCTCTTCGTTTTTCAAGTGGCGGGTGCATAATGGGTCACCCACATGCATCGAGAATAGTTTAATACTTGTTAGAAGGAATGAAGCTACCCTACAAAAATTACCGCATGTAAATCAGTCAAGTGGTTCCTGAGACATAAGTCTCGCAAAAGCGTGACCACGGCCGGCCGGCCGCTCGTACTCAGGAATTTCCCGAAAGACTACGCTCGCTTCGCTCGCTCCGTAATGAGTTTGGGGGGGACGTCCCCCTTCCATTCTGAGAGTGGGGGGGGGACGCGTCCCCCCGTCCCCCCCGGTGGCGGCGCCCATGCTAGTAACTTAGAAGGGCTAGTCACAAGGAGAGCTAGTGGTGCAAAGAGCTTTGAAGATACCTATTACAATTACTTTGAAGATACCTACATTGGGAGGCAGGGACGGAGGGGGCAGAGGAGAGCACCAAGTTTCGGAAAAGACATGTGGAATGAATTCGCACCGAAGAGGGAATGCCGAGGAACAACAACAAAATTGAAGGGTGGCACAGGGCAATCCAAGGAATGGTGGACTCGCCACACCCGTCCCTTTGGCGTTTTCTGGCCGTGATTCAAAAAGAAGAAGCGCTACAAGCTGCCGAACCTTACAAATTCAAAGCAGGAAACGAAGTTAAAAAACAAGAGAAAATTATGCCGATATAAATAAACGAATTAAGGTCCTCATTCGCCGTCTCACAGAAGATATTATCACGGGTGGAGAACGTTTGAAAAAGTTACCCCGGCCGGCGACCGAAAGTCAGAAAGACGATGATGCTCAAATATTTGTCAACGGTTATCAACAAACCTCTATTTTGTGGCATAGAATAATGGATGTCTGCCGTTTGTACGTTTTTAGAGAAAACTGCTGCACGCAGGTGCGGAAGATTTCGTAATTGTAACAACAATTTTGCAACGCGCCTTAAAATTTCGGACGCATGTCACCTAGTGCTAGGTCAGGTCATCAGGTCAAATTTGCTAGATGATCGTGCTAAAAATGCCAGCATGCCCTTTGCAAAGCTTATTCCGTGGAAGTTGCAACCTTCTCACGCAAAACAAAATGTCAAATTTGACCGTTTTGACCCTCTTATTGATTTGAGCTCGCACCTGAAATATTATTCGCGACCGATCCTACGAGTAATCGAATGTTTTGTTTGCAGTGTTTAAGCTCCGTTATGTTCATGAACTGTGAGAAAAGTTGTCGGAGAACGCTAAAATCAGAGAAATTTGGCTTTTGATGATCTATGGTGATTTTATTATTGAGCTTGCCTAAAACATGACCAGATTTCTCTGGTCACGTTAGTCGTTCTTTCAAACGCCGTTGCGCTTCTCGCCTCGTAGCCCAGTAGCCGAGATAGAAGGAGCGTGAAAAGCCCACCTCTCGACTCAACGTGTTACGATAAGAACACCACCCTGGCGGGGGTTAAGTTGGGGAGCCTTGAGCCCCAGCAGCTCGTCCTTCTATCTCACTGATATTACCCTCGTCCTGTCTTGTGATGTTATTTCAGTCCCATCTTACGATAACAGCCCTTAAATATGATTTACTTCTGTTAGATGAAACATGTCGGGCTCCGCGATGAAAAGACTTAAAAACATACATACATAGAAGCTCCAAAATGAAAATAAAGTAAATTTTCAAGAACTTTTCAAGGTAGGTAAGAATAATGAGAGACGCTTTTATGCATAGATGGCAGTTCTTTTCGTATGGAGACAGCTTTTAGGTCTTAGGATTTACAAAAGTGGAAAAGGTTACCCCGGCCGCGCCGGGGTCGGCTGAAAGTTACCCCGGCCACGGCCGGGGTGGCCGGGGCAGGTTCTCCACCCATGGATATTATAGACAGGCAGGAGTTTCTTAACGGAGTTGGATACAACATTTCGATGAACATTTGAGAATAAAACCTGAGTCGTATGTTTCTGTCTTTTTCAATAGTTACGACCTTTTTAGTGACCGATCTGATCTGAACTGAACTTTGCTTATAAAATCCCGAAGAGGTACGGCGTGAGCCGAACTACTAGCCCTTTACAACACTTGTCATTTTGCTCCTAGCTGTTTTGTGGGACTAGTTACAATCGCACTAGCTATTTTGTGGCACTAGCCCAAATGAGCTAGCTCAAACAACACTAGCTCTTTTGTGGCTAGCTCATTCGTATGGGAATCGGGGAAACAGGTACGACTCAAGTGGCTGTCATATGATGTAATACAGCCAAATGTTTCGAATGAAGCTGTCTCGTGTCTTCCGACCCGGTATTGGTATGGCGCTAGGACGCATGGATGTTGCAATATAAATAGAAAATATCATAATCTTATTGTCGATAAAAGTGACTGCTAAACGTCACAGTCACATTTAATTTTACTCTCAACTGAGTGTAACGTGCTTATCTATATCTAACATCATGCGTCTATGCATTTATCAATATTAGCCGTTTTCACGACAGCCATCTGGTACACATTTGGTGCACATCTGGTACAGATTAGGTGCAGATTTGGCCAAATCAGGTTCAGTGGGTCTCTTAGCAGCTATCAGCTAGGGTTGCACTAATTGCTTATATGCCTGCTTTGTCATATTATCAGAGAGCATCATCGATTAAAACACTAAAATAAATTCATAAAATGAAGATATTTGCTGTAAAAGAAATTAGGTGCAGATTTTATCAAATCAGGTGCATTCGCCGGATAGCCCGTCGTGAAAACGGCTATTCACGCATCTAACACCCGTCGACCAGCGTTACATGAAGTCCTTATCGCGCAAACATTCCTCTCAATAGACTATTCGCCTCTCACTTTTCAGCGGCGCCTCTCCGCCGGTAATTATCTCGACCTTCGATAATGGAATCCCTCCCGCGAGCCCCGCCCTGCGCGCCGCCGCTCTGCGCCGATCTCTGCGCGAGCGGCGGGGGCGGAGCGGCCCGGTCGGTCTGTCCGTTCGTCCGTCCGTCCGTCCGTCCGTCTGTCTGTCTGACTGTCCGTCCGTCGTCTGCGCGGCAGCGGTGCGTGGGACGAGGACGGAGCGACCTCGCGTCCACCTCCTCCACACACAGCCGGGTACCAGCCGCTCCCGGCCGTGTGCCCCCGCCAGCCGCCAAGGTCGCTAAGAAACAGGCAATTAAAACTGCAGACGACTGCCACTGTGACACAAAACAGCTTGAGGTTATGAAGGATTCGGAATGAGAGCAGTGGCATTGGTGATAAGTTTCCTTGGGATGATGAAATATTTCTTATTGATGAAGTCTGTAAGAACAATCTTCAAAATAGTTAAGTTATTTGGTGAAGGAATGCAGCCGATCAACTGTTGATCATATCTCCAAGCTCCGAACAATATGACGGACACATACATTCAGCCGCGCGAAAGAAATCGTATCAGGGACGCGATCAAATCCAGTATAACATTGTTACTTGTCACATGGGACAGTGAGCAAGAGACATTGCGTTGAATTTTTATTAAAAAAAAAAACACTCCAATTTGGCACCGTAAACATTCAAATAAGGATTGGATGACCGGTGAGAACGATTTACATTAGATGTTACTATCATACAAAGGCTTGCAAAACCGCATGATTCCTGCATGTCTGCACGTCTTAAGCCCATGGTCGTTCAGAATGAAAGGCGCCGCTCCGGCGGCCGATGTCCACAAAGCAAAGTCTGGGACGCCTTAACTGCCGCCGCCGAATGCCCAGGGAGCTGCAGCCATACCTCAGTTCCGTTACAACTACAAACCAACGATAATCATTCATTCGCAACTAATTGGTATTGTCAGCTAGCCGGAGTCCCAAGCTTTCATAATGTTTAATTAACGATCACCGGCACGCCCCTTGGTAAGGTGAAGTGGACTTTCACTTCGTATGCGAAGTTTAACCGTAGAATCGTTCACCGTTAGTGTTTTATGAATAAATATGCCTAACCCGAATGTGTGAGTGCGGATACGTGCCAGAGAGTGGGTGTTCGGTAGTGGTGGGTGTGGGAAGGACCGACAAGACAACCACAAATAGCTCCGCTCCGGCACGAGCTCAGACCGAAACAGAACATTGGGTTATATTTTTATAATCAAGCAATATCTAAAAATATAATTTGTACTAAAGACATTCGCTTGTCTTCGATATAGGACAAAATATAGTCCGCTTACGGCTAAGTTTGCGATAACATTTCTGAAAGTATTTGTTGGTAGTTAACGATGAAAGGTTTTCTTCATTGACAGGTGCAAACGACTGACAGCGAAATGTGGTCGTGGGACGTGGAGATACTGTCTATCGTTGTCTAGCTGTGGAGATACTGGCTATCGTTAACTATCATCGTGTCTAGCGCCTCATGCTTGGTAACAGAACGTACTGTCCCTGATCAGGGATGTTGTACCTATAGAATTTCACTTTCGTCCCATCAGTACGGGGCCTGCCGCTGACAACAGCCGAGGTCGTGAGCATCGATGTCTGATGGTAACAGCTTTCAACGACTAGCACCGGACACGGTGATACAGCATTGCGCCATTCGACACCGGACATAATATTCACATTATGCCGGGGTGGATTATGCCATTTATCAGGATTACTGAAGATAACGCTCGCCATGACAGCGCCCATTCAGTGCAGGTGCAAGCCAATTGCCAGTCCTGTTGGCTCTGCTTGCGCCGACAGAAGGGGGAAATAAACTGTTTTGCTTGCATCGGCAAGTTTTGCACACATCGAATCACTCTCCCTCTTTATCTTTGTTAAAAAATGCATGATTTAGATCTTAGGCTTTTTCAAACGGTCAGGCATCTACTGTAAGCGACATCTGACTTTGGTCGGACATCGGGACGGGCTCGGGGAAGTGGCGCCGCTCTCGGGCAGGTAGGTACTCACCAGCACCTCGTCGCTCCAGAAGCCCTCCTCCACTCCGGTGATGCGCAGGATCTCCTCCCCCAGGTAGCACTTCTGACACTCGAGGTGCTCGATCTGCTTCTCCCGCTCGGACAGCTCCTGTACACAGATGGCGCAGACAATTTGTCAGTGGTTGGACCCAGCAATAAAAAATCAGATGTAGTTATGCACATAAAATCGTTTGAGCTGATGGCAGGTCCATGCCTATACGCTCCTGCATGTGATGCTTGCAATTAGCAAATCCTTAACGTTTAAGCAATCGAATAAGAGATATTTTCATCTCCAGTTAATTGCACAATACGCACGCCATGGCTTTGTGGGCAATAAAATGGACTTTGGTACAGAGGAGAAAAGGTGGTCAGCGTGCACCCCGGATTTCAGTTTCACAACCAGAATAAATGTGCGAAAAGGTATGAACGAATTAAGAACGTTCGTGACCAGCAGAGAAGACTCTGGCTTCTGAATCGTCTCGGCAAGCCTGCAGACACGCGAGGTGCGTATATACCTCCGCGTAAGGCTGTAAGCGGCGTGACTGGTGTCAAACGGCCGGTGAAACACGGCCACAGCGGCGACCGACAGCACATCCGCCTTGTGAAACAGGATAGATCGACGGGAAGCCCTGTCACAAGTCTCAGCCGGAATGTGAGCAAAACACAGACGGTAGCGCGGCCGCAGCGTGACGAATCTTCCACGAACAGTGGATGAGAGTGTGTGTCGAGCGCAGAAAAACATGGCCAGATCCTTCGTAAGAAGCGTGTCACCCGTGAGCTCAGAGGCAAGTGTTACACATGAAAAGATTTGGTATCGAAACGTCATAAATCGGGCTTCACTCGACGAAATAATGACAGATGACAGCATGTCACACTGGCATTGACACGTTGACATTAAAAATGAGGCAACGCTGCTGCGGACGAGGAAGAACCGTCAATGAAGGTGCAAAGACAAGAAGCAACTCGGTGATTGGGTAGCGGATAAGACTCACGCACTGTTTACTAAGCTTATCAGACGGTTGACTGGGAAGCACCGAATGTGCATCATCAAAGGCCCGAGCGAGGAAGGAACGTTGGCCGGTGCCAGTGACTGGACGGTGACAGTTTTCCGGTCCCACCAAGACCCTGTCAGCCTGGCCTGCATCGGCTCAGGTGACCGAGACCCCCGCCTCTGTCGATGGGGGGGGGAGTCTCGAGTTCGACAACAGAGGGGAGGGTGCTGGGCGGCGGGTCGGATGACGATCTACATTTAGCCCCTGAGCGGCTGAAATCTGAGCCCCGTCGGCTGTCACCACCTCCGCGTGCCGTCTCCGATTCCATGCTCAATCGTGTCGGAAATCTGACGCCGTCTCGGCGGATACAGGTGAGCGAGCACGGCGAACAGCAGATGATAAACAGCAGTGTCGGTGTCCTAAACGGCCTTGTGCCGTTACCGTAAAATTCCTGATTGGCAATGAACCTTGTAATATACCGGGTGGCCCAAAAAAAAACGTTCCGAACTTTGGAGGCCTATATCTCAAATTCGAGTGCAAATAACGAGCTAGAATTTTCATCAAGTTTGCGTCACTTCTTTGCGCATTGGTATGCCAAATTATAACACTGTACCATCATTTTAAAGCCAGCAATCTTATGTTGAATCAAGTAAGACGTTTTCGCTTTTTTTGCCGTTGTTGAACGGAAGTAATGATTGGCTTAGACGTACCCTGTTAGAAAAAAATACAAAAAAAAATAGAACGGCTTGAATGATACCAGCACGTGTGTTGCTATTTCATATATTTTTGTCACACTTATGTGCCAAATATTCAAATACCAAGCCAAAGTTGTGTTAATGGATGCCATTCGTTTCAACCCAAGTCCTGTTTCGAGGCGAAGGAGTGGCACGGTGCATGGGTTACTGCTGATCGCCCTCCCTTCAAGAAGATCAAATAGTAAATCGACCGAATAAGGAAAAAAAGCTAGAGGGAATGTGTCACCTGAGGCCTGAACCACCAATGAGACTAGTTGCCAGTAGCAGTCATGGCTGTAGGCCGTGGTGCCGAGATGGAAGTGGCCCGTTCACTCACATTTTTGGTAAACAACAGAGCAAAAAAGTGATTTTTACATGGCATGCTAGAAACACGAACCGTTTAAAAAGTAATTGACCGAATAACATAAAAATCATACCATTCACTGAAAATATATGTCGCATTGACTATTGGAAGTTTCAATGTTGTATGTTTATCACTTTCTGAGAAATATTGATTTAAAATTGGGAACGTTTTTTTCTGGGCCACCCGGTATAGCTTTCGACATTCGCGTGGCACAATCCTGTAAAATACACAAGTAATGCGCAGAACAGCTCGCTGTTGCCGGTTCAGATCAGACCTAACTAACAGAGCGGACCTGACAGCCACTTGTCGTGGAGGTCCATCACCGAGATAATGAATCGACATCCTATATAACTCGTCCCACGCGACCGGGCGGAAAGTGACGCCCGCGGTCCTGATACGGTCTCGGTCAGAAGTGGTTCGCCCACACCGGCTCCCATCTCAGCAAACTCGGACCGAGAAGAGAGCAGTCAGGCGTGGGACTGAGTGGATGTAGGCACTGAGTGTCTGGAAGAGGCGGCCTCACGCGAGTGCGGCGTCTCTAACCGCACCCGCCGACACCACAGCAGGAGAGTGAGACACCGCTTCGCCGAGACGACAGCAGCGGCAGCGGCGGCGGCGGCGGCGGCGGCGGCGGTGTGGGGAGAGCAGAGGTGCCGCCTCCCAGCCGGCGGCGGAATTCGGCCCGGTCCCCGGCTACCGGCTGCGCTCCCGACCGGCCGACCCGCACCGTTCCGGCGGCTTTGAGGATCGGCTCAGGCTGTCGGCCGGCGCTGATTACGACACGCGGACGGCGGCGGTGCGCCCAGCGCGCGTCTCTCGGAGCGCCGCCCGCCGCCGGGACGGTGAGAGGCCGTCTGTGGCAACACATGGACGGAGAAATCCCGGAAACGGCCGCCGAAGTGGCGCTGCCCGCACAATAGTGGTCGGCCACCGCGGTAACCGCGGGACTGAATGCTGCCGATCGCCAGGGAAGACTGGTGAAGGTTTAATTGAGTGCGAATTTTCACTCAGGCGCTGACGGGTGATCTAGGATTTGAGGTTCGAACCGGTTTGAAGTATTACCCGACCTTCTTCCGGATGGAGGCTAGGAAATACTCCCGATCGAAGCGATTGTGTAAAGCGTGGGGAAAAGCAAGTTATGTGCTGATGACCAGAAAACGTGGTTGGTATAAAGCTCGAAACAAGGCCTTAAATACTGAGATGATTTTACCTGTCAATACTCAATAAAACCGGAATGGGAGCAATATGATCAAAGACTTCTTAAAAATCGAGTTTACTGATGATCGATGTGCATTTGTTCTTGGAAACATAAAAAGATGCCTAAGTCAGCCGTTCTCCAAACTTCATGAAATGAGTAGAGCTTATCACTAGCATGTTAGCGTGTAACTAGCCTATCGCCAAGCGCAAAAACGGAAAATGAACAAATTCTGATCCATTTTAACATGCTTGGCACTGGAGTGTTCTTCTAATAACCGATGATCACCGCAAGCTGATGACTTATCAAACGGATGTCGATAGTATCAGCGTTTGGACGTTTGTCTGCCCAGCTGGACTGACCGCAGCTCGACAGCGGTGAGGTGGCCGGGGCCTGACAGTGTGCCGGAGAATCTGTGGTAAAAATCCGGCCGTGATATAATCCTCAGTGGTAGAGCCGGCCGAGGGCGTATATCCCGAGGCCGGTATACGCCCAGTTTCCCTCCTGACTCAGTTCTGGTCCGTGGGCTGCCGCCGGGTGTTCAGTCGCCGCCAGAAATGGTACCAGAGCGAGACAGGAATTCGGCCGACCTTGTGTTTTCCGGCAGCCGGCTGCGCCTTTAGTGCGGGCGCGGCACGCAACGGCGGCGCCGCTGGCTGTGCAGCGGCTGTGTTCGAACGGGCTGCCAGCCGCTGCTAGTACGGACATCTTGTACGGACGTATCACCAACTGTGTACAAACAGGCTGGCACCAATCTAACTACGGATGGACTGACACCCGTGTCAGGACGTAAAAACAGCCGTGCAAAAGACGGACAAACAGCCGTGCTTAGGACGGGCTTTCAGTTGTGTACGAGAAGAAACATCAATTGCCAGCTTTGTACAAAATGGACTGTCAGTCGCCATACGAGACAGTCGCCTACCTCACGAAATGTCATCCACACAAGGGCAAACTTTGGCAGCCGTAGACGGATGGACTGTCGCCCACAGAACGTGGGCACTGGCAGCCTCAGACGTCACTCACGACACCACAGGTTGAGTGGGACGACGGCAGCTCTGACAGTCACACTAACTATACGACGGGGCTCAAAAATAGCTACGTGTTTATGGATGAGTGCCACTGATGTATAGTAATGTTCATCAACTCTTCGCCCCTAACCGACCGCTCCCGATGTTCTAATAGCAAGGTGACTTTCAATCCATTATATGCAACCGTCACCGCCATGCCGCTGACCTTGTTGCACCTTGTGTATAGTGTCGTTAGTGCGCCCTCGCGTCGCCGACAGTCTAAGTATCCGATTGACGTCACTTCCTCTCACATTTCCTTCAGCATTCAGCGACTTGCCTGCCAGTCTCTTAGACAGGCCAGTTATCACGGCGAAGGTGACCTGAAACCTGGGCCTCGCTCAGTGACATACTCTGCTGTTCGCGCCATTTGAGCGCAAACGTGCACCCCTCGAATCACTGGTTTTTATAAACGTCGTGGTTTAAAATAGATATATCTATTGTTGTTGAACGACACAGTCCACGCTTTGTTTTCTTTCTAAAATAAAGCAAACTTTGCGTGTAGCAATATATTGCAATGTTAGCGTGACCAGCTAAGCCCGATCATCCGAAACTCGTGTTGTCTACCGGCACCAATCCCTAACCACGAGCATGAAACTGAATCACTATCACTTCCGGTACAACTGCAAATGGCATTACAGTGAAACCGGGCAGCAGGAAGCACATGATCCGTCAATCCGTAACATTTCGACCGACCTACAATCACCATTTTCTGCCACGAGAGCCGGCGATTTTCTCAGTTGCCACCGCGGTGCCTCCG